TTCAGGACTAAGGATCACATGTCAATCGTTGTACCTTGATAAGTTGAGATTTGTAATGGGTATTAAAAATTCCAGTTGTGTCTTCACGTGCAGAAATTACTGGGAGATGAGGATTCCATGGACTGTCATTCACTTATCCAGTCAGGTGCCGATCTGCTACAGAGGATAATCGTACTCATTGAGGAGAATCTCTCTTGTGAGTGTCACATCCTATTCCACCTAGTTCTGTCGACGTATTGCATCATTTGAAATGCCTCTTTGGATGGGACATGTCTGGAACACACGACGANTCCAGTCAGGTGCCGATCTGCTACAGAGGATAATCGTACTCATTGAGGAGAATCTCTCTTGTGAGTGTCACATCCTATTCCACCTAGTTCTGTCGACGTATTGCATCATTTGAAATGCCTCTTTGGATGGGACATGTCTGGAACACACGACGAAACTTGCCAAAGACATATTAATTTCAAAGACATAACCTCTCACCAAGAACTAGGAATTTTACATTGGAATGTGACAGAATATTCAAATCGAAGGTGACGTTTTAGCCATCATTCACAGGATTTATTGATAGAACTTATTTTTGTCCATATCGCATCTTTCCTTATATGAAGTGATTCCTTCCCAGTCTTCTGATTATTCCCATTTTTTGTAGACATTTATCTATACCCGGGATATTCCAATACTTTTGCCATAGGCGATTCGAGTTGAAATACTAGTACATTGCCCTTCATTTTAACAAAGAACGACACGCGGGTTGCACGTTAACAGCAGTGTTTGATCATAATTTGAACATAGATTATAGTCAATACACTTTTTTATCCTCATCCTATTCCTCATCCAGATATCCTATAAGACTTAAGGAATTATTGATACTATCAATTAGCTGGAGAGAAAGACTCCAGGAAATCATAGAAGCACGAACAATGCCATTATTAGAAATCCGAGTGATACTAGAAGAGAAACTTTTAAGAGGTGGAGATTCACTTTGTGGCATCTCCTGCGATATTTCTGAACATTATAAACGAGAACAAAATAAACTAATCGGGATGAAGGCAACAGTTTTTAATGCAGGACATTCCAATCTCAAAGAAACTAATTCCAATTCTGTATTCAATTCATTATAATATCTTTGCGGTATCATTATTTTCGTCACATGTATGTTATAGAATTATTGCTTTTTAGGGAGCTTCTTCCCTTGGGGAGAGGGAGTAAGAGAAGATGTAGATGGGACGTGGAAAGGAGGGATCCTCCTCTTTACATCCAGTTCTTCTAGGCCGTTCTACATCTTCCCTCTTGTACCCATACACCGAAGTTGTGAGTCCTCAATTCCTTCATTAATTTTCTTCTTGGTTCACCTTCCCCTCTGCTTTTCAAGTCCGAACGATCTTTATCCTACTACCACTCAAATACTACTACTTCACACATTGGAAGTGTTTTCATGAGAAACTTTCCTTTGGCTCAGCAGCTCAGAGGTATTAAAAGAGGTTCTTGAAATCTATCACTTACCTGAGAGTTTGTTTGCACTTCAGGCAAGCAAAGGTAGCGGTCGCAGCTTCGGCGCTCGAAGAAAAAAAAAGATTAATTCGCCTCAGACTACGCTTTCGAGGCTCGCACATCGTAAAAAGACGATGGGTGGGCTTCGTGGGCTTCATGCATTTTTCGGTGTGGCGTCAAGTTGATACGGATTACCTCTCTACCTGATGTTTCGAAGTTGCAAATGAGAATACTAGGGACATAATGACTTGAAATGTCAGCATGTTGACATGTTGGCACTTTCACAGCACTATTGCTATAGCCAAAAACTATTTTCCATGGTGGTGACGTCATCGGCCTGTAATCACTTGTCCACAAGTATTAACAAATGTTTGCTAGGCCTAGTTTCATCACACATTGGTTTTCACCTCCTTTCTTTTTTGTCAAGGGGCTGGCGCACATGAGGCATGGATTTCAGTGGAGAAGCTCCCCCAGGTTTATGGAGAACGCAGGATCCCCTCCTCCTTGAGAAGAATTTCCTTTCGAGGGAGGGTGGACGTGCATTGGTACTATCACACGGCACCCATACTATGGGTTCTAGATAGGAACATGGCGGGATTGCCACCTTTCAGCCAAGGTGCGGATAGCTATTTTAACACATTCAGACCAAAGTTTAAATATTGTAGTCTACTCCTCCAGTCCGGCCATTTTACAATTAGCTATGCTTTTCGCATTACTTTATTTCCTAGAAAATAACTGCTCCAAAAACTACAAAACTACAAATCTAATTTTCAGAGAGTGTAGTCTGGTATCTCTAGTACTCCTTAGTGCTATGGTATCTCGTGAAACACTCCCCAGTTGTGGAAAGGAGCCTGGCAAGGAGTACAAGGTACTGAGTTGCCCAATTTTTTTGTGTATGAGGCAAACTCTGTAGTCCCTGGAAAAGCAAATCCTTTTAATTTGTTACACTTATATTTCAGTTCGCAGTGTACATGTTGCCTGGACTGTGTGCTAGCGTGTATACATATTTCAAGAGACATCTATCATTGATTTGCTCAATTATAAATAATTAGAAGTTGACATGCTCCATATACGAGGGATATCCAGAAAAAAAGGTTACAAGTGCCCTGGAGGGTGCAGGGAATTTTTTTTTTCGAAGGTTGGCATACCTGCGTGTAGGGGGGTTCCTAACGGTCAAAATAAGCCCGGGACCGCGTCAGTCAGTTGTGAAATGTCGTCACAGCAAGCGAGTTCGTCAACCTCTGCTGAGGCCGTTTGCTCCACCTACCGCCGATGCGAGATTCGTTCGGTCATCAAGTTCCTCACTTTGCGTCGCGAATCCGCGGCCGAGATCCATCGTCAGCTTGTGGAAACTTATGGACCTGAGGTAATGTCACGTCAGCATGTTTACAAGTGGGTTAGNTCCAGTCAGGTGCCGATCTGCTACAGAGGATAATCGTACTCATTGAGGAGAATCTCTCTTGTGAGTGTCACATCCTATTCCACCTAGTTCTGTCGACGTATTGCATCATTTGAAATGCCTCTTTGGAAGGGACATGTCTGGAACACACGACGAAACTTGCCAAAGACATATTAATTTCAAAGGCATAACCTCTCACCAAGAACTAGGAATTTTACATTGGAATGTGAGATAGAATATTCAAATCGAAGGTGACGTTTTAGCCAGCATTCACAGGATTTATTGATAGAACCTATTTTTGTCCATATCGCATCTTTCCTTATATGAAGTGATTCCTTCCCAGTCTTCTGATTATTCCCATTTTTTTGTAGACATTTATCTATACCCGGGATATTCCAATACTTTTGCCATAGGCGATTTGAGTTGAAATACAAGTATTAATACATTGCCCTTCATTTTAACAAAGAACGACACGCGGGTTGCACGTTAACAGCAGTGTTTGATCATAATTTGAACATAGATTATAGTCAATACACTTTTTTATCCTCATCCTATTCCTCATCCAGATATCCTATAAGACTTAAGGAATTATTGATAACTATCAATTAGCTGGAGAGAAAGACTCCAGGAAATCAAAGAAGCACGAACAATGCCATTATTGGAAATCCGAGTGATAGAAGAGAAACTTTTAAGAGGTGGAGATTCACTTTGTGGCATCTCCTGTGATATTTCTGAACATTCTAAACGAGAACAAATTAAACTAATCGGGATGGAGGCAACAGTTTTTAATGCAGGACATTCCAATCTCAAAGATACTAATTCCAATTCTGCACATTATAATATTTTTGCGGTATCATTATTTTCGTCACATGTATGTTATAGAATTATTGCTTTTTAGGGAGCTTCTTCCCTCGGGGAGAGGGAGTAAGAGAAGATGTAGATGGGACATGGAAAGGAGGGATCCTCCTCTTTACATCCAGTTCTTCTAGGCCGTTCTACATCCTCCCTCTTGTACCCATACACCGAAGTTGTGAGTCCTCAATTCCTTCATTAATTTTCTTCTTGGTGCACCTTCCCCTCTGCTTTTCAAGTCCGAACGAACTATATCCTACTACCACTGAAATACTACTACTTCACACATTGGAAGTGTTTTCATGAGAAACTTTCCTTTGGCTCAGCAGCTCAGAGGTATTAAAAGAGGTTCTTGAAATCTATCACTTACCTGAGAGTTTGTTTGCACTTCAGGCAAGCAAAGGTAGCGGTCGCAGCTTCGGCGCTCGAAGAAAAAAAAAAGATTAATTCGCCTCAGACTACGCTTTCGAGGCTCGCACATCGTAAAAAGACGATGGGTGGGCTTCGTGGGCTTCATGCATTTTTCGGTGTGGCGTCAAGTTGATACGGATTACCTCTCTACCTGATGTTTCGAAGTTGCAAATGAGAATACTAGGGACATAATGACTTGAAATGTCAGCATGTTGACATGTTGGCACTTTCACAGCACTATTGCTATAGCCAAAAACTATTTTCCATGGTGGTGACGTCATCGGCCTGTAATCACTTGTCCACAAATATTAACAAATGTTTGCTAGGCCTAGTTTCATCACACATTGGTTTTCACCTCCTTTCTTTTTTGTCAAGGGGCTGGCGCACATGAGGCATGGATTTCAGTGGAGAAGCTCCCCCAGGTTTATGGAGAACGCAGGATCCCCTCCTCCTTGAGAAGAATTTCCTTTCGAGGGAGGGTGGACGTGCATTGGTACTATCACACGGCACCCATACTATGGGTTCTAGATAGGAACATGGCGGGATTGCCACCTTTCAGCCAAGGTGCGGATAGCTATTTTAACACATTCAGACCAAAGTTTAAATATTGTAGTCTACTCCTCCAGTCCGGCCATTTTACAATTAGCTATGCTTTTCGCATTACTTTATTTCCTAGAAAATAACTGCTCCAAAAACTACAAAACTACAAATCTAATTTTCAGAGAGTGTAGTCTGGTATCTCTAGTACTCCTTAGTGCTATGGTATCTCGTGAAACACTCCCCAGTTGTGGAAAGGAGCCTGGCAAGGAGTACAAGGTACTGAGTTGCCCAATTTTTTTGTGTATGAGGCAAACTCTGTAGTCCCTGGAAAAGCAAATCCTTTTAATTTGTTACACTTATATTTCAGTTCGCAGTGTACATGTTGCCTGGACTGTGTGCTAGCGTGTATACATATTTCAAGAGACATCTATCATTGATTTGCTCAATTATAAATAATTAGAAGTTGACATGCTCCATATACGAGGGATATCCAGAAAAAAAGGTTACAAGTGCCCTGGAGGGTGCAGGGAATTTTTTTTTTCGAAGGTTGGCATACCTGCGTGTAGGGGGGTTCCTAACGGTCAAAATAAGCCCGGGACCGCGTCAGTCAGTTGTGAAATGTCGTCACAGCAAGCGAGTTCGTCAACCTCTGCTGAGGCCGTTTGCTCCACCTACCGCCGATGCGAGATTCGTTCGGTCATCAAGTTCCTCACTTTGCGTCGCGAATCCGCGGCCGAGATCCATCGTCAGCTT